ATTTTACCGTCATGTTGATCCTGCTTATGAACCCTCCTCTGCTGGCATCAGAGGCAAGGGCCACACCGAGTTTATGAGCATTTACTTTATACACACATTTGCCGGGCACCCATATCTGCCCCCGTCTCTTTCCTCCTCCAGCTCTCCAATCTAGAAATACAATTAACACAAAGTAAATCTTTGCCAAGCTGCACAGGCCCTCTAGAACAGCAAACAAGCTGAAGAGATGGAAATACAACTAGAGCTGGAGAGGACTAACAAGTGCAAGAACCTCACTCATACCCAGAGAAGGGGAAGGTGGAACTGTGGCCCTGCATCTGAGTTTCTACCATATCACTGATCTGTTTCTAGTAAGGTCTGAACTGGTATCTATGACCTAATGATATTGATGCTAACCTTAGACAGCAATGGAACTTTTAAACATAAAATTTCCTGAAGGACTGACTGCTTTTTGCTACTGTAATGAGCCAGGTTGTGTTTCATGGCCCAAAGATGAATCATTGCTGTCCCTAGCAACATGAGATTTTCTGATATATAAATGTATTTTTATAAAGGATTCCCGTATTTTATATTTGTTTGCCACGACCAGCAGTTGCTTTACTTTTTTTTTTTTTTATTTTAGTTTATGATAACATTTTAAGATTTCCCTTTTGGGTTATGTTAGGTGTTGCCTTAAGAGCTCTTTTTATCCTAGGACAGGATATCTTTTTCTGGTTGCTAGGAAAATGGTAGGATCTGGGCAACAGTTCCTCAGGCCTTTGCTGGATGTAAAGAAAAATAAAAATACCTCTTGCTCTCACAGATGTGCTAGAATGGAATAGTGCACTTAATATTGAATACATCTGCCTCAGAAAAAAAGAAACAAGGTTAGAAGTGAAAGAAAGGGATTTAAAAGTAAAGAGTTAATATATTTATAAGTCAGTTTGTAAAAGACACTTGCTTTCAATAAATGGAAAAGAAAAAGGCAATTTTAGATAGATGGTGTGATGGCTCTAAGGGTTTTCCTAAGAAGAGGTGTTCGTAGGAAAGGTGCAGAGGTGTTAGTGCAGCTGTACAATATCTGACTGTGCATTCAGAGAGCAGTGTGCATCTATGAATATGCAAMACCAGAAATTCATGTCTAGATAACAAGGATGTAGAACAGGAACCTTGCAAAGTTCAAAATCATACTCTCTTCAAAGAACGTTGAGAAAATAYAAGGGAAAATATTGTCAGTTCTTCTAGTCTTTCTTGCAAATAAAGCAGGTGATAAATGACAGTAAACCTTTCAAAATTTTGGAAAGTATGAATGAAAACTACAGACTATGACTGACACATTAAATATATATTTAAAGGACAATGACAATTGACAAAAACTCAAAATATGCCCTATTAAGTCTGATTATGACTTTTCTTTTTCAAATTTTTTTGGGGGGTGGACTTTTTGTTTGTTTGTTTTGTATTTTTAAAATTTGCTTAATCAGAAAGAAGTAGTATTTGAAAATTTTCATTTTAAAGGATATATATTTAGGATAGCCATACCATCAGAAATTTTAATCTCCACAAAGTATTTTCAAAAATGCTATAAATTTCTATTGTAATTTCTATTCCAATTTCTATTGGAATGATCTAGTTAGCCTTACATGCAGTATGACCATAAAAAATTAGTGCTGCTCAGAAAGCCTCTTGGCAGACCTATCCTTTTACTATAATTTTCAGGGGCATTTTTCTTTTAATTGCTGTATTTAAAAGTTTATCATGGATAATTTTCTCTACAGGTGTTATTTTCCATTTCTGCTTTACTTCAACTGAGAGAAGAGTGAAAGCAGTAGAAAACTTCAGAAAAATTGTTTTAACTTTGCACCATTTTTCTTTTCTCATCTTCTCGCAAGGAAATACAAAGTCTGACACTTCATGTTTATCTTTTGCATGTAAATGCCTGGCAAACAAATATGCAAGTAGAAATGCCAAGCGAAAAGTGTTTAAAGTAAGAACTGCTTTCTTTAAAACACACACATTTAATCTATCAGTAACAAAAAGTAGTACCACCTTAGGAAAAACCATCTATGAAAATCATTTGGGTAAATTATTGCAAACCAGCATGACACATGTTTGCAGAGACTAAATAAGGAACAGCCTCTATTAGCAGTCCATATGGAAACTGGAATATAAAACATTCTAGAAACATTGCCCACAGCATAAAAGTTTGTTAAACCCTGAAATAAAGCAATAAAGCAAGAGGAAAAAAATTAAAAAAAAACCTAAAAAAACCAAAACCAACCAGGAGCTGATAAAGTCAATCAAACTAAAAAAGAAAAAAGAACAGAGTTATAAATTTTATAAATAACTATGTAAATAAAGTATGTTTCATGAGGCAGAAACCTGGTTGATAGTTCACCAAAGGTGGCATACCACAGTCATTTAGAAAATATCACCCTTATCTGTCACTTGATTTTGTTGCCAATGAACAATTACAGAAAGTTTCTCTCACCATTGAAGTTTTAGCCTGCTCTTCAACTTTATTGGCAAGAAAACTTTCAAGAACATCAACAAAAGGTGAAAATCTACTTTCTTAGAGTAATTATTTGTATTTCAGTGGAAATAGGCAGATTTTAGATTTTTGTCACCTAAAGATCTCTTGATCTAGGCTGAGATTTTGAAAACCATCATGTTGTACATTCTTACACCTCTGAGCAACACATATTTTTCCATCAAGGTTTTTCTTGCTTGACTTCTCAATACTGAGACACCTTCGTAGTACAGCTTCTTGTCTTTTACTAGGAGAGGTAGAAATGTGAAATCAAGAAAAAAAACCCTAAAAGACAACTTCAGATATCAGGCTGAATGATTGGAGATGAAATACTTCCTGTGCCAAGGCTTCGGTAAGAAAATTTAATCAAAGAAGATTCTTATTTTTTTTGGAAAATTATATGCCTTACTTGAAAAACTATTACTCTTACTACTAATTTGGGCCAAAATATTCTAATTCCTGAAATGCAATGAAGAGAGCTTGACTTTGCCAGACCTGACACAGCACTGTGCCAAACACCTCTGAGAGGTCAACACAACTAAGACATCAGAAGTTCCAAAAATCGGAGCCCTGTGTCACCTGAACAAAGGAAATAGAGCAAAAGATTTAAACTTGATGAGGCAAGTAAAAATTAAAATTCAAAACCAAAATCTACTTGTGATTTTCAGGATGTATCATTCTCAGTCTTAATCTCAGTGACTTTCCAGACTGAAGTTACCCAGTCCTGTCTGTCCCACTGGGAGAGCTTCCTTCAACCCACCAGTTCCAAGTCTGGGTTTGGATCTCCCTGCTGTTCTTCCTAGGGATCTCCCAGTTTCTTTTTCCACTGTAGATCCTTCTCACTGTCCTTTCCCTTCCCTGTCACATCTTGCACCTGCAGCCATTTTGCAGCTTGTACACAAGGCTAGAAACACCCTTGCCCTAGAAGGGACAAGTTGGCAGACACCTTTTTTTTGCTTCTATTTCGACACATCCTCTCAGTATACACATATGTGGAACTGAAAGAGGGTCAAATGATTGTACCACAATCCCATTCTTCTCTTAAGCTTTAGATTTTTAGGAAAAGTAGGAGGAAGAAGTTTTCTGCTTATTTATTTAATGTCTTTTAAAGAAAACTATTTGCAGTGAAAACCCTCTGAAGAATTTCTGGGATTTTTTTTTTGAAAAAAATAGTTTAGTATTTTGAAATGAAAGGATATTTTTCTCAATTCCTTTTCTATAAAACATACAAGATTAAATTAACCTGTATTAAGCAAGTAGTTAAATCCCTACATAGGAAAACAATGATATTATTTAAGTGTGAAATCAGTTTCAAAGAGAGATGCCTTATTACATAAAATTAATCCAGCCAGTCAGTAATATGAAATAGATCCCCAGAGATCCTCTGTACTAACATTTGCACCATGCTTTTGCTATAGTAATGGAATGCAGTTCTTTATCCGTGAGACTGCTTTGTTCCAAAATCCTCTTGGAGCCAATATGGTACACAAAACACTGATTATATGGATACCTCAGGGAAAATTTCAGTAACTTTCTAAACCAGTAGTCAGATGCCCATGACAATTACAATAGGATGAATACACTTGGAAAAAGGGCCTGTTCTTGTCAATTCACCTAATAATGGTCTGAAGCTGATAATTTAATGAATGTAAAGCTTCTATCCCATTAATGTTTAGGCTCAGATGTAGGTTCATTATCTGTATGCAGAGATCACTCAAGTGGTTTACAGTTGTATGATTATATAACAGTGCTTAGAATTTACATAGTTGCATTTGTTTAATTTTTTCTTATGTGACATTTATTACTTATTATTGTTAGTATTTATTATTAATTCTTGCTCTAATTTTATAAACAAAGGGTGACCACAATGGACTATCTGCATGCAGATGAGCACAGACTTGACAACTCTTCTAAAACATGGCCCAGGCATCATGGCTGATTTTTCAAAGCTGCTATTTCCTCATGCCATGTACACCACACTTGCTCTTGTGTACCTCATCACCTAAGCTGTGATTTGCACTGCGATTCAGTCTGAGTCTTTTTTTAACACAAGGTCAATTTACTTATTCCTTCTGTCTTCCTTTTTCCTAACATCACCAAATAATTACAATATGCTGTGTCTTGATGCCTTGAGTTTCTTTGACTAAATATGCTAATGGAAAATCTTTAATAAACTTCCAGGCCTAAATCAAGTCTTCCATTCCACAGTAGCATAGTAGTTACATGCTCTGCCAAAAAACACTGTTCAGATAACAAACCCAAAAAACTTTAGCACAAACTGGTATTAAAATCCCATTCAAAAATTAGGATGATTAGGGGCTTGGGGGGAGTTGGGGGTGGGTGTCATCATCTGTTAAAAAAACAAAACATGAGAAAAGTCCGACAGGCATTCAATAGTTGTGTTCTAATGAAATGCGGCAGACTGGTTTCTGTGTGATTGGTCCCAAAAACATTCTGTGAGAAAAGCCTTTGAACAAACAAACAGACGTACCTTTCTTGAAGAATAAGTTTGTTTTCCTTCTTCCAGAAGTCTTTGAAGTCAGAACTGAATTCATGCCAAATACTGAAGAAAGAATGTGGGGACACCTCCTTCTCACCCATTTTTGGTTTCATACAGAAATAGGCTGTAGTTTCCAAAAAGCTGTCAAAGAAAGCAGAAATAGCAAATGCTTCAGTACTCACTGACGCATTTTTTTTTTTTTTTGCTTAATGCTGACATAGTATTTAATTATTCTTAGTAGCAGATTTAAAGTAAAAGAATATAAAAATATAACAGTTCTGAGCTCTTCATATACACATAGGTACAAAATGTTAGAGGATTCCTCAGTAAAGTTGGGATCTGGCATTTATCATAGTTTCTAGTTTTGACCTCAGTATTTTCCATTTCAAAAGCTAAAATGAACACACTGTCCTGAAATGAACACACAGCCCTGAAAATCCAGATACCTACACCTACCCATATACTGCCATTCTGTTGTGTTTAAAGCTGTTTTCAAAAGCAAAGCTCATAAAGGACTGTAAACAAACTGCTTCAAATTCTGTTAGATCTGTGCTACAACACAATAGCTTAGGCTGGAAACGACACAGAAATATTAAAACTCAAACCTGCTTTGTACTAAACAAGAAATGACGCAATAGAAAACTGAGCCAGGAGCAGCTGTGCTAGAAAACAGGTGCCCATCATGACTCTACCAGAACAATCCAACAATCCTTTCTGAGCACAGCAAGAGTAAAACTAGTGCAGCAAACACAAAAGCAAATCCTTAAGTAAAAACTACTCCTGAAATGCAAAGGTCCCATTTCCCCACACTGAGAGAGGGCATGACTGCACCTAAATTTAATGTATTTCTGACTTTGAATTGCTCCTATTTTATTTCAGGAATGTTACAGGAGGGTACAGAATAATAATTTTTTTTAAAAATATTGCTTGGTTAACTGTTATTCCATTTTGTTTTTTCACTTCATGTTTTGTAAATATTTGAGGTTTTAAGAATGCTTTCCTGATCTAAACCTCAACATAGAAACCACTGGAGGATTGCTTATTTTATGAAAAATTCAATGGAAAACTCTCTCTTGAAATAAAATTGTAGTTGCTTTGCTCACTGCTCTATTAGTATTCATTGACTCCTATGATCATTTTCTCTGAAGCAGTATCAGTATCACAGTATACTTTTAATCACTTTGTGGGGGATAATCCAATTCCAATTAAATGGATGGAAATTTAATTTTAATCATGAAGTTATATCTTCCTTCATGGATTATGATGGTGACAATAACATATAAAGATTCACCCATTAAGAAGGGTCAATCTCAAAAATCATCCAMGAAACTGTTTATTCTAATTCTCAAACCCCAATATTCCAGTTGTTTTCCCCGATTTGAAAAATAAACATCTTATATACAATTTTATCATATTTCTAAATAAAAAAAGCGTACATCTTAAAAATTTAACATCAATTTACCAATCAAATTTTACACCAAATTTTATATCTTTTTTTTCTCTTCATTTGCAATGTGTTTTCCCCATCTGTTGGATCAAATTGAAGCTGTAGAGCAACTGAGATGCAGTGCATAAAAATAAAGAAGAAAAAAAAAAATTGTAATTTTTTAACCCATGACATTGATACTCAAATGCCACCTTCCCCGATCATGCCATTTCTTCAGCTCACTCAGTTACCATTGCACGCTCTTCTGTGAGTGTGTGCTTGGTCAATAAAGAGAATGCCTTTTCTTTGGCTGGGTTTATTTTGTTTTGCTCTTAATAATTTATAAATGAGTAATACTACTGATTAACATATTCCATTTTACTTATTTATATTCCCCCCCCCCGGTTTTATACTGAGGAAAATATTCATCATCTATCCTCTGATTCCACAGAATCATTCAAAAATAATATCTCTAACATTCCAGTCAGCTGCACTATGTTTAAACTTTCTGCTATTGTTATATATTTCCAACCTTTTGCAAGACTGCAAATATATCAGGGATGTATTTTGGTTTTTCTCCCAGTCTCTCTCCCCAAACTTACAGCTCTGCAGCTGGCTAATAGGAAAGTCAAACCAAAGGCTCATATGAATTTTCAGAATGAACTGACAATATTTTTGGAGGAATGTGAGGAATAAAGAACAAGAGACAACTCTGGAGGCATCAGCTGAATCAATGATGTAATTTTGAAGAATCTCTTTTGAACTTATTGGAATGAAGTGCATTAATGATTTACAAAACAGAAAGACAAAATTTCATATAAGAAACGTTGCTTTGAGAAGCATGTCTTTGAAACATTTTGCAAATGACAATGATAATTAAAGAAGTTGACAGTGAATAGCCATCCTAAGTAATGTTTTGATATTTGAGACAATGAGCTAGAATTCCATCACAGGAAAACATCCCAAGAAACATGAAGCCAATCAAAATGAAATGCATACTGTATAGGAAAATGCTCAATTAAAAAAAAAAAAAAAAAAGAAAATATAAATGACACTAATGTCTACTAGATATGCAAAGACTTCCACTACTCTTCAAATATCCCAATAATTATTCCAACTATCCTCTGAGAGTAGGTGGAAATTACCAATCATTTTTTCTCTGGTGACTGAAAATTTCCCTGAGGACCACTTGTATAACCAGTACAACCTTACACATTCCTACAGAGGTGTCTAACACTGGAACATAATTACTAGTTTGTAGAGAGAAGAGAAATGCTCATGCAGGTTGCTTGCCTCCCTAGCTGTTAGTTTGGGAGGTAAGGAAAATTATCTGTCTGTGAAATGTGAAACAGCAGCAGCATAGCAGGTTTTCACTGTTAATATGTCACACTTTTCTAATGCCCACTAACAATGCACAAGACATCAGCTGAAACACAGTAATACTTCAGGGTACAAATCTCCACGAATCATTTTTTTTTTTCTATAAATGCAGGTCAAACAGTCAAGACAATTACCACATTTTTTCCAACCACAGAGGTCTACCCTGATTTAGCATTAAAGTTTCTTTAAGTGCATTTAGAAGACATATGGAAACCTGCTTGCTATACATTTGATGCTTTCATTTTTGTAGTACAAGACAAAATGGCATGATTCACACATGAAAGACAAAAAAAATACAGTAAATCCAAATGCATCAAATAATAAAACATGGAAAGCAATAAATCCTCTGTTACCATGGTCTTTAAATATCGTCTTTCGAAATGTTTACCTATGTCAAGCTAGACATATCTCAAGGCTAATTTCAGGAGGGGACATGCATTTTAAATACAAAGAGAAATTTAGATAACATTGCCATAGCCCCAAGACTAGATCCAATCCTTTCAGACTTCAGCCAGGCAGTAAATATCTTAAATATCTCTGGTGCAAGCCATTCAAATTTTCCTGTTCATTTTTTCCTGTTTATTCTCAGCAGATATTGAAACAAAATATCAGCAAATACCATTGTTACTATTACTAACTATGGATCACACAGACATTTTGAATCAAATAAGGGACTAGAATTCAAAAGCCTTCTGCTCCTATACTCATAGTAATTTCTACATCATACAACCTTGGGAAACTCCTCTGATCTCTCTGAATTTCATTTCACCTATCTGCAAAATCAAACATTTATATTGAAACAAATATTGCAAATCTTGTTTAGTGTCCATTTCTCTAGTGAAAATGTTCGTACTTATCCATATTCTTTCTGAGTGTCTTAAAGGAAAATAATGTGCATTAGAGAAGATCTTTCAGTCATGGAAGAGGGAAGGACAGGCATGCAACTTAGTTTCAGGGATTAAAAGAGGCAAAGGAAGTCATTGCCTTTGCTTCAAACAGCCTGACTTTTCAAGCATGATTAAAAATAAGACAGTGATGTTCACACTGCTGTCTTAATCCATACATGGCAAAAGCTAGAATTCTTTAAACGGGTTTCAGACTGGGTTTCATATCCCTCATGCTGGCCCTGAAGGAGATTTAAATAACATCAACTTTCTCAAAACAATGGAAGAGTTGCTTATCTCTGACAAATAAGGTAGGAAATAAGATCAAGAAGGATGGTTAGTTTCTTTTCTTCCTTTTCTGACTTTTAATGTCTTTGGTTCAAGTGTTTTTGTAATTCAGAAAAATCACAGCAGACTGATGTCTGAACTCACTGCTTACTCAAATAAGGAAATCTGATTAATGAATCACTGGACTTTTATGTGCTCTCTTGAGTACAACTATGAGTCCATGAAAGTGATTTTTTCTATCTGGAGGGAAGAAAGGAATGGATGTACTAACAGCCAAACCGAATTTAATCATATGAGAAAGAAAAGAAGCTATTCACATTGCAAATGACTCATTGACAGCAATACTAGTTAATAGACCTGATCCATTAGGAATATTTTAAGAGCAGCTATGGATTATTCAGCTTTTTTTTTCCATTCCATTCTGAAAACAGCCAGCAAAAAGTTGCAGACAATGATTGAGATTCAAGCCTGCTGTCTTTGATGCATTGGTTGGTTTACAAATATATACAACGTATGTTTGTACATATGAATGTAAATGCGTGCAGCAGGTCAAGCAATGTAGAGGAGATAAAGCATAACAACAACAAAAATACTTCTTTTGATAGCCAAAAAAAAAAACCAACCAAAAAAGCAATAAGGAGACAAATCAACAATACTAAGCAATAGACATCAGATTATTTGATCAGGCTTCCATGGCCAAACAAATAGCAAAGTAACCATAGGTACAGACATGCCCTAGCTGACCTTTCTGAAAAATGGCGAGCACACCCACAAACACACATGCAGCTGGTTTCCCCATGAAGCAAACTAAATCACCTGCAAGGGTAAAGATTTGCTTCAATGTGGATTTAAAAGCAGAAACTATGTGTTTCTATTCTGCACTGTTTAACAGATGATGTATTTTGGCTGAAGTTTGTACCGGGATATTCTTTACTATTTTGACTTGATAAATCACCAGCCATCACTTATGTGCATTAGAGATTAAGAACTGTTAAAGTAAATGGTGGTACTCAGTTATTTTTGTGAAGATATTGTGTTTCAGAAGAAGTCCTAATTCAGGCTGAAACTACTAAACTGAATTTTAGTTTGATTAAACTTGCAAGTAAAATTTAGAACTAAGTATAGTCTACCAAAAGAAAGAAAATAAAAGGGAAAGAAAAGAC